TCCTTTCTTTGAAATATAGCTTATAGTACCTGGTATTCCTAGGCAGTTTCCCATCCAAGTACTAACCAGGGCTGACCCTACATTACTGTAGATTCCAGAATTAATTATAGAAAATGTCTTTGTTTGGCTGAGATGAAGAAGAAGAGCAAAAGTGGCTTCAGAATGTGGCAAAGTTGGGCATTTGCCAAGACCCTGAGAGCAGCAAGGACCCACCTGCCCTCTCAGGATGGATGCTATATATGTATATATCACATTCTGAGGGTGAGGCAGAAGCGAGGAGAGATTTAATGGCACCACACTTTTTTTTGCTAGCTATAGGGAAGGGGCTATAAGGCCTTGATTTACATACTGCTTTGTATCTCCTCTCTCTCTCTTTTTATGATTGGCTGCCTTTCTTCCGAGGGGGGGGGGGGGAATGAAACCCCCTTCTACATTCCATCATTGCCAGGAGGCAAAAACCCACGAAATAGCGAGTCCGCGAAAAGCGAACTTCAAAGTAGCGAGGGAACACTGTATCTTGAATCTTTGAGTTTACAGAGAACCACTGCAAGGATAATGCCTGAAGTTTCCCAAAATCATTGAAGTTGGGCTGGTCCAAAACCCAAATTGTCACTAGCCTGACCTGTTGATCATAATTAGTTTCATTCATTCAAGTTGTCACTGGTTGCTTTCTTAACTCTTAATGATGAGACCTTGTCCTCCACCATTCCTGAAGGTTGCACACTAGCTTGGGCAGCAAAGGGTAGGCCACTTGGCACATAGCTGTCTCCTCTAAACCATTACTTCCACCTCCCAATATCTTACACCTGAGGGAACCACCTCACTTTGTCTATGCCCAAGTCCAGGGAAGTCTCCAGGAGACCATACTGAGAGGTCACACAGACCAGAGACAGTCGGGGGGGGGGGGGGGGGATAAAGGCATGAGATGAGAAAATCCTTTCATCCCCAAACTGACATCATCCCTGTTACCCAAGTGTCTGGAGTACTTGTATACGCAGGGAATGTAGCTGTTGCCCATTCCTTCTCCATTGTCTTGCCAAATTTATGTATACAAAAAGCCATTAGAAAGATAGCTCCCTGCCCCCCGCCTTTGGCCCTATGTTTCAAGATCTCTTAAATTTGAAATGTCTTTGGAAACCTAGTGATGCCTCTTTATAGCAAAGACAAGAGATGTCAGCACGTTTGTTTGAAAACCGATTACAATATAGTGGTCCGTGAAGGGTCTGGCAAAGGACTGATGTCCTAATGATTTAATGGCATCACTGGATGATTGCATTATCTATGTCCAGGAACAGAATGAGGGTCTGGGAGCAGCATGATTACTGTTAGAAGATATTCTCTGGGGGCTTCAGCAAAGCAAGGACTCAGAATGACAAAGAGGTGAATGCACAATGTGGGTGCACTGGGCTGCAGAACTTCTAAGATTTTCTGAGAGTGAAAAGGTGTCAATCTATCATTTAACTTCAGAAGACCTTGGAACTGAGGAACTGAACCCAAAGTACAAGAAAGCTCCTAGGCCATTTTTACATGATACCAAGTGGCAGAAGAGGGGTGTCATATTTATTTATTTACAGTATTTCTATCCCACCTTTCTCAGCCCAGAGGCGATTCAAGGCGGCTTACAAATTCTCAGCAATTAGATGCCACAACATTAATAAATACCAGTAAAACATTTGACATGACATAATAAAAATCCATATTAAAAACCTTATAAAACCATTAAAAACATATAATCACCAATATCGTCCAGTTAAACTCATTTACCATTAGCATCGTCTAGCCGTTCCATGTTCACTCTTTCAAAGTACCATATTTATCTACTGTGCTGCATTTCCAAAAGTTTGTTCAAAGAGTCAGGTCTTTACTTTTTTCCAGAAAGTCAGGAGGGAGGCGGTGATCTAATATCCCTGAGGAGGGAGTTCCACAGCCATGGGGCCACCACTGAGAAGGCCCTGCCTCTTATCCCTGCCAAACACACCTGCAAAGAAGGCGGGATCGAGAGCAGGGCCTCCCCAGATAATCTTAAGTTCCTAGATGGTACATAAGGAGATGTACGTTCGGACAGGTAAGCTGGGCCAGAACTGTTTAGGGCTTTATAGGCTAAAGATGGCAAACTGGCAGCCAGTGGAGCTGGCGCAACAGAGGAGTTGTATGCTCCCTGAGTGCCGCTCCTGTTAGCAACCTGGCTGCTGCCCGCCGGACCATTTGAAGCTTCCAAACAGTCTTCAAAGGCAATCCCACATAGAGAGTGTTGCAGTGGTCTATACGGGATGTAATCAGAGCATGGACTGCCATGGCCAAGTCAGACTTTGCTATTGAGGAGATGGATAAAGAAACAGGGTCCCTCTTTGTTCGCAGATAGAATTGGAGCATCTGCGTGAAAGGTCTTTGCGCCACAGTCAAAGTTGCACGCCTTTAAGGTACCATCAGACTCTGTTGTTTTTGCTGTAAGAGACAAGTAGAGCCTTTCCTTTGGAAAACTGGAACGCTAATCCTTCCTTTTAAAAAGCCCTTGGGATTCTGCACAGTTAGTGGCAGCCAAAGAATTTGAACGCAGATTTCATTTTTAGTATGCTGGGCAGGTTTTTCTATTGGGAAAGGTGGGGGATAAGGTACAGACATGTAAATTATGCCGCAGCAGTTTCTGACGTTTCGCTAAGATTTAGATCTGATCTGCATTTAAACAGAAAAGTAGAAAATGGCATTAAATTTAGATAAGTGCAAGATCATGCATATTCTGGAGGCAGAAATATTAAATACACCAGCATAATGGAACAAAATGCCTGGCTAGTAGTCGATTGTGAAAAAAAGAGTTCAGGGTTTTAATAGATCATTCCTTCGGTTTGTCATCACTGTAAAGTGGGAGTTAATAAATTATTGGACAGGCATATTTGCTTCTGTGTTTTAACTAGCAGTAATGAACAGGTTGTGTCATTTCAACCTCAAAGTGGGTGAAAAGCTACAGTGGAGGCTGATTTATGAACTTCTTTCCAGATGGATGGTCAAGGCAGGATGTCATAAATATAGTTATGCCAGGAAGTGAATGGATGAGCCAAAGAATTCTTATAGGAATATGATCCAGGATATCTTTGGGGTTGGGATGTGTTGTCTCAGGTCCTTCCCAATGTGCTATAGCTCCCAATTGGTCCAATGAAACACACACAGCAGGAGTTGAAGCCAGGAACAGAAATCAGTTTAATTCAGCTCTGGCCAGAGTGGACACAGGACAGTTCCCCAATCCAGCGTGCTTTAATAATAATAATAATAAACTTTATTTGTACCCTGCTACCATCTCCCCAAAGCCGAGCCCACACTATATCAGCAAAAACAACAACAGCAATACAAAACAATAAAATGAAACTCATAACAAAAAACAAGCAGTAAATATTAGCAATAGCACAACAACGCTTAAAAACCTATGGCTGGGCCAAATGTAATAATTAAATTTTTAAAAAAACAATGCTGAGCATGACCAGGTGAAATATATAACTAGGATAGAATTTCGGAGAGGAAAGGGCGTGCAGACAATCCTAGATCATTGATAAAGTGCATTTCCAAGTACTAACATGGGTATTATATAGAAAGGTACATACATTTAAGAACATGAAGAATAGAGGCGATTGGTGTTATTTCAGGATCTGCAATATCATTGGTTCAAAAGCACATTCATTTACATTTTGTCGTTGGTGCAAAATAGGCTCCACAATCCCTTTGGGTTAAAAGTACATTCATTTATAGTTTGTGATTGGCGCATAGTATGAAATAAACTGTTGATCACATTTTAAGCTGTATGTTGCCTGGTGTGCCCGCCTCCTTGGGAGGGTCTGGGAATGGAATGAGGGCAAAGTTGGGAGATAATGGGTACTTGACAGAGTTACCCCTGGAGATACAGTTCCTAGGTTTGGGATGATTGGATTCTGGATGCCTTGATGAGTCTAGGGATTTAGAGACAATGGGTGCTTGGGTGCCCTGATGGGCTTCACAGATGTGACAAAGGGATGAGGAGGAGAGTAATTAGGTTGGTTTCTGCTGGGTTGGGATCATTTGTGAATCAGGGTAAACCAGCTGGGACCAATTCCTGCTTATTGTGATGGTGCAAATGTGTGGTGATTATGCAACTTGGGGCCAGACCCAGAAGGGGAGGCTCTGTTTGGGAGAAGGGGCAGGAGGGGACTCATGAGGCAATTCATTCATTCATTCATTTGAGCAGCACCCAAACACGAATCAAGGAACATGAAAGGCATAGCAGACTGCTTCAACCAGAGAAGTCAGCCATAGCAGAGAACTTGATGAACCAACCTGGACATAGCGTATTATCTAAGAACACAGAAACGCTGGGCCACTCTAACAACTACCATGTCAGGCTACACAGAGAAGCCATTGAAATCCACAAGCATGTGGACAATTTCAACAGAAAGGACGAAACCATGAAAAAGAACAAAATCTGGCTACCAGTATTAAAAAAAACCCTCTAAAATTATAACAGCAAATAAAGAACAACACTCAGAAACAGGGGAACTCCAGACAAGAAACAATCAGGGACAGCTAATCACCTCTCAGCAAAGGATTCCCCCAGGCTGTAACAAGCCACACCTAAAAACTATCAGGCCATCAAATACTAATCAAAGTGGCAATTGAAACATTCACACCTACCTCCAACAGACAAGAGTTCTTTCCCCCACCCTGGACTTTGCACAGATATATAAACCCAATTTTCCTGGTTTCCAACAGACCTCACAACCTCTGAGGATGCCTGCCATAGATGCAGGTGAAACGTCAGGAGAGAATGCTTCCAGAACATGGCCATACAGCTCAAAAAACCTACAACAACCCATTTCTTGTCTTTTGGGGTCCCCTTTCCGATACCAGATGAAAGCAACTTTACATTGGTCAGACAAGGCGCTTCCTTTCATTCTTCTCCCCATCTACTGTATTGTTATTTCACTAAGAGATGTAATAGTTGTTATATATTTATTACACACCTCTCCCTTCATTTCTAGGTCTCTGACAGATGCGACTATGTCTTTGTCAATGGGAAGGAAATGAAAGGCAAAACGAGCGTCCTTGTCCATTTCATGTACCAGCATCTGAGTGCTGCTCTGGAGATGACCGTGTGGGTGCCCCGCCTCCCCCTGCAAATTGAGGTTTCTGACACAGAGTTGAACCAGATCAAAGGGTGGAGGATCCCCATCGTTTCAAATAAAAGGTGGGCTTCATTTTGTTTGTGTGCTTGGCAAAAAAACAAAAGAAAACAGGATACGTTTGTCGTGCCTGTTCCTAGAAATGTCTGATCTGGCCCGATTCAGACTTTGTGACCCATGTAGACATGCCCAGAGTTGGTTTCATCACCTGTTGCTGTCACTACACCTCCCCCCCCCCCACCGACTACTTTGTTCCTTCTAAGCTTAGTTACTATACTCAGGATCTTAAGTTATCTCTAATGCTATGTACAATATTTTGTGGTAGTTTTATCTTGAGCAAAAATTTACACAGCCTAATTATTTGGGATGCTGTTTCAGAAAATTGCACTGGATAAGCTGCATCATCTCTGGTTTCTTAGATATGGGTATCATCCTTTTCTATGGCAAGTAGATGGCAACTGGTAAATGTCATATGTTCTATATCTTCAAAACTAGAGCTGATAGGGGAAAACTGGTGGCGTTTTTAGAATCAGCAGGTCAAATAGACCCAGCAACAGGGCTAACATTTGAGGCACCAAAATGTGTGTTGGCTAGTGTTGTTTGGCCAAGTTAGTGGTGATGAAAACTGCTTTCACTCATCTGTTGATAAGGTAAGTAGGTAAGTAAGTAAACTTTATTATGGTCGATGACCAGATCATAACAGGAGGACCCAGTCCCACACATCCACATCAAACCTAAAGGCTTATATACTTCAAACTTCAACAAATTTTAAATTCTAGGCTAAAAACCACATACAAGTAGTTATTAAAACCCAACTCAACCCATATTTATTTGTCGTGTCAGGGCAACCAGTCAATTCTACATTTCTAACAGAACAAAGCAAACAAACAGACAAAATACAAAATTTGTGAGTTTGGTAGTTGATTAAATGTCTTTTGACCAGTATCTGGCCACTTGGGAGTGCTTCTGGTGTTGCTGCAAAAAGGTCCTCCATGGTGCATGTGGCAGGGCTCAGGCTGCATTGCAGCAGGTGGTCAGTGGTTTGCTCCTCTCCACACTCGCATGTCGTGGATTCCACTTTGTAGCCCCATTTCTTGAGGTTGGCTCTGCATCTTGTGCTAGAGCACAGTCTGTTCTGCGCCTTCCAAGTCGCCCAGTCCTCTGTGTGCCCAGGGGAAGTCTCTCATTTGGTATCAACTCAACCCATGAGATCATCTGAAGGCAATCGGATTATGGTGGCAATAAAAACTGCTTGAACTGGACTGCTGATAAGGTTTGCCTTCTTTCTCAGACTCATTGGGAATGTGGCTATGGGGATGTCATAATTACAGTCTGACTTAAAAAAAATATTCCACTACTTTTTATAACAATCTTCCTGCTAAATAATCATCTTACTGCTTTTATAATCATCTTCCTATTAGCCTGACCTCTCTATTCTTGCTACGTTGCTAGACCAGCTCGAGACAGTGATGATGAAGAAGAGGATGAGCGGAAGGGAAAAGGCTGTACCCTGCAGTATCAACATGCTATGGTGCGAGTTCTCACACAATTCGTAGCTGAGCCCTCGGATCCAGGTGGGCAAATGGCCTTTCTGCTGGGCTCAGACTGGCAGGTTGACATCAGCGAGCTGGTGAATGGTTTCATTCAGGTGGAAGAGCCAAGAATTGCCAAGTTGCAAGACGGACTCGTGCTGATTGGACAGGAGCTAGGAATGACAACAATTCAGGTAAGCAAAACGTGAATGCTGGTTAAGAACATGAAAAATACCTTTCTTGATCAGCAAAAAATTATTCTGTCCGTTTCTTTTATACAGTTTCTGTATCTCAAAAACTATAGCTGATAGGGGGAAATGGCACAATCAGCAGGTCAAATGTACACAGAAAGAGGCCTAACATTGGAGGCATCAAAATGTGTGTTGGGCAGTGAATTTGTGCTTCTAAGAATTGTAGCTCTATGAGCAACTAACTATTTTTGAGACCTCATAATTGTAAGCATGAATAGTGATTTTTAAACAAAGCATTCCAAGTCCTGATCTTAATGGAATGCAACATACCTCCTCCGCTGTCTGTACACTAGAGCTGATTGCGCTTAACTTCTGCAAATTGTGGGGTTCCCAGTCCTGCTGTCACCTCTCTCTTGTGACGCTCTTTTGGCAACAACTGCATTGTCACTTGAGAATTAGCTCACTATCTGAAATGCTACATTGTGTCATGTTTGTCATGTTTGCTTTCCTGCAAACTGCTAAGCAAGTTTTCAAACAAAAGCTAGAGGAAAGCTCTTCAAACATGTCCTTTTGGTGACACAGTTCTTCGACTTGCATCATTTTGCGACACAGTAATTCCGTTTTACTTGTAACCTGGAGATTAAACCAAACCCTTGTGAGAGATATGGACACAAATTGTAATAACTAAATTTATGGGTTTCATTAAAGCCTTTCTCTCATATAGATAGATAGATAGATAGATAGATAGATAGATAGATAGATAGATAGAGATAGATAGATGAGAGATTTGTTGTTTATTTCCCATAGGACCTCATCATCCTAGATAATGAATCCACTTTAAATTGGTTTCTGTCTCCTGCAGAATTCTGGGGTTTGTAGTTTAGCCTTTAACAGCCTACTAAACTATAAACTTCAGAATTTTGCAGGAGGCAGAAACTGGATTTGAAGTGGATTTATTCTGTAGTGTGATGAGGCCTTTAGATGAAGAAGTTTCTTGTTACATTTGCATGATACACCTCCACACTGCAGCTAACACACTAAAGTATCTCCATTTTGGATAAGCTCTGAGCTTGAGACTTGCAGCAGGCCTTGTTACAACTGCTTCTTGGTTCTTCCTATTCCTTTCTACATATACCCACAGACTCCTCGGCAATCCCTTCTCCCCTTTTCCCAAGTGGAAACCAGAGTGATGAGCAAACCAAGTTCAAACCCACTTTCCCCTTCCCTCTTTCTCTGCATTCAAGAGCACCACAAGATTTAACAAAGAGGTATTGAAAGAAAGCTTTTATTCTAAAGCACTGGTTCCCAACCAGTGGTCCGCAGACCACCAGTGGTCCGCAAAAACTAAAATATGGTCTGCAAAACATTTAAAATATTGAACCTTTATTCATTTTAATGAATCTGTTGCTATGCGGGTGGTGCCGGCAAGTAGGACATTGGGCGAGTGCAGGAGGCCAAGGAGAGGGCAAGCGATCAACGTCACGTGCCATATACTGACGCCACCCAGCGTCAATCAGTCGCGTGCATTCTTTTGTCTGGCTCAGCTGTGTCAGTGATTCTGTTTTGCTGTTTAGTAATTCGACGGCTCCAGTAGTTTTACTGACTGTGAGTCCTTAATATTCATATTCATTTTTGACTTATTTAATGATGATTATTTACCTCCATGCTGCACTTTAACAAGTACTGGTTAGATACCAACAGCACATTGCACATCGCACTTTAAGATCTTATAAAGAGTACTCGCTGCACACTAAGACCGTGTAGCGCTAATAAGTGTGCTGACAATTGTTACTCATGTGTTCTACCATCCCCTGGTATTTATTATCTGTACTGCTGATTATCTGTGGAGGGGACAGGAGACGTAGTGGGCTGGAGATCGTGGGAAACAATGGGGCGGGGGGGGAACAAACGGAGTGGAAATGCGAATCGATTTAAGATCCTAACAAATCAAACAACTAACAATGAAACGCAAGCTGAGATTACAGGGATGGAATGTGGCATGGAGGGGGGAGGGTGTTCCATCAGCCGAGGGGCCCCCATAGAAGTGGTGGTGGGGAAGGGGAGATGCGGAACAAGGAGACCAACAATTCGGCCTAGGGATCGTGCACCAACATTAGTAATTCCAAATCGGTCTCCTTATACGGTAAATTGGTGTAACCAGGTTGGCGGTCCCTCTGGATTGAAGGTGGTGTTGTTGAACGCCAGATCTGTCAACGGAAAAACCACCTTCATCCAAGACCTAATTTTGGATGAGCGGGCAGATCTGGCGTGCATCACGGAGACCTGGTTGGACGAGTCTGGGGGGGTGAATCTCACCCAGCTCTGCCCGCCAGGCTTCTCCGTGCAGCACCAACCAAGATCCGGAGGGCGGGGAGGCGGGGTTGCAGTGGTCTATAGAGATTCCATCCCTCTGACCAGGGGCCCCATCCCGCAGTCTACAAATTTTGAAGGCGTCTACCTGAGAGTGGGTGACCGGGACAGAATAGGGATTCTGGTAGTGTACCGTCCACCTCGCTGCACTACAGTCTCCCTACCTGAGCTAGCGGGGGTGGTCTCGAGCCTGGCGTTGGAGTCCCGGCAGCTCCTTGTGCTGGGGGACTTCAATGTCCACGCCGAGACGGCCCTTTCTGGAGCAGCTCAGGACTTCATGTCTGCCATGGCAACCATGGGGCTGTCCCAACAAGTAACTGGCCCCACTCACAGTGCAGGACATACATTGGACTTAGTTTTCTGCCAGGGATGGGAGGAAGGTGGCGGTGTTGAGGAGTTGACCATCTCTCCGTTGCCATGGACCGACCACTACCTGGTCAGATTTAGGCTCACTGCACCCCCTAACCTCTGCAGAGGTGGAGGACCTATTAGGATGGTCCGCCCCAGGAGGCTTATGGATCCGGATGGATTCCTGACGGCTCTTGGGGAGTTTCCCGCCGCCTCAGTAGGTGACCCTGTCGACGCCCTGGTTGCTCTCTGGAATGGGGAGATGACTAGGGCGATTGACACGATCGCTCCGGAACGTCCCCTCTCAAGTAGCCGAGCTAAACCAGCGCCTTGGTTCACTGAGGAGCTGGCAGCGTTGAAGCGAAAGAAGAGGGAACTAGAGAGCGTGTGGCGTTCGAATCCGAGCAAGCCAAATCGAACACGGTTTGTGTCCTTTTTAAGGGCATATGCCGCGGCAATAAAAGCCGCAAAGAAGGCTTTCTTTGCGGCCACTATTGCGTCTGCAAAGAACCGTCCGGCTGAGTTGTTTCGAATTGTCAGAGGCCTTTTGAATCCCACCACCCAAGGTGGGATCCCTGACAACTCGACCTCTCGCTGTGAAGCTTTTGCTCGGTTCTTCGCAGACAAAGTCGCTTTGATCCGTTCTGGTCTGGACACCATGTTAAATGCAGTCTCTGTGGATGTAACAAGAGGCCCTGCTTGTCCTATTTTGATGGATTCATTTCAATTGGTGAAGCCCGAGGATGTGGACAAGATACTTGGAGGAATGAGGCCGACCACGTCCATCCTAGACCCCTGCCCATCCTGGCTTCTAAAAGAGGCCAGAGGGGGATTGGCTGAGTGGGTGGAGGTGGTGGTTAATGCCTCCCTTCGGGAAGGCAAAATTCCAGCGAGCTTAAAACAAGCTATAATAAAACCGCTGTTGAAGAAACCATCACTGGACCCCACTAAATTTGACAACTTTCGGCCAGTTTCCAATCTTCCCTTTTTGGGCAAAGTCCTGGAAAGCGTGGTGGCCTCACAACTCCAGGTATTCTTGAGAGACACGGATTATCTAGACTCGGCACAGTCTGGTTTCAGACTGGGACATGGAACTGAGACAGTCTTGGTCGCCTTAGTGGATGATCTGCGCCGGGAGCTCGACAGGGGGAGTGTGTCCCTGTTGGTGCTTCTGGACCTCTCAGCGGCCTTCGATACCGTCGACCATGGTATCCTTCTGGGGCGCCTTGCGGAAATGGGTCTCGGAGGCACTGTTTTGCAGTGGCTCCGGTCATTTCTGGAGGGTCGTTCCCAGAAGGTGTTATTGGGGGACACCTGTTCATCCCCACAACCATTGTCTTGTGGGGTTCCTCAGGGTTCTGTTCTGTCTCCCATGCTGTTTAACATCTACATGAAGCCGCTGGGTGAGATCATCCGGAGTTTCGGGGTACGGTGTCATCTGTACGCAGATGATGTCCAACTCTGTCACTCCTTTCCACCTGCTACTAAGGAGGCTGTCGAGGTCCTGAACCGGTGCCTGGCTGCTGTGACGGTCTGGATGAGGGCGAACAAATTGAAGTTGAATCCAGACAAGACAGAGGTACTCCTGGTCAGTCGCAAGGCCGAACAGGGTATAGGGTTACAGCCTGTGTTGGATGGGGTCGCACTCCCTCTGAAGACACAGGTTCGCAGCTTGGGTGTGACCCTGGATTCGTCGCTGAGCCTGGAGCCCCAGGTCTCGGCGGTGACCAGGGGAGCATTTGCACAGCTCAGGCTCGTGCGCCAGCTGCGCCCGTATCTTGGGAAGTCTGACTTGGCCACGGTGGTACACGCTCTTGTCACATCCCGCCTAGACTACTGCAACGCTCTCTACGTGGGGCTGCCCCTGAAGACGGCCCGGAAGCTGCAACTAGTCCAACGCGCGGCAGCCATGATTCTAACGGGAGCGGAGCGCAGGGAGCACACAACCCCCCTGTTGCACCAGCTCCACTGGCTGCCGATTTGCTGCCGGGCCCAATTCAAGGTGTTGGTACTGGCCTATAAAGCCCTAAACGGTTCCGGCCCAAGATACCTAGCTGACCGCATCTCGGCCTATGAACCCACCCGGACTTTGAGATCCTCCGGGGAGGCCCTGCTCTCGATCCCGCCAGCCTCTCAAGCACGGTTGGCGGGGACGAGAGATAGGGCCTTCTCGGTGGTGGCTCCTCGGCTGTGGAACGCCCTTCCTGTAGATGTTAGGCTGGCACCATCTCTCATGACATTCCGTAGAAAGTTGAAGACCTGGATGTTTGTGCAGGCGTTTGAGTAATTCAGTGCAATTCTGGTAATTTGAACATAGGAACGGAACAATGACGTCGAATTTGGATCACGCTTGGATGATGAGGCGATCAGGGGTGGGTTTTGTGATAACGGTGTATTGATGTTTGTTTATTAGTTAGTAATGAAAATGTGTAATGTAACTGTTGTGGTATATTAATTATTGCTGTTTTTATTGTCTTTGTTGTTTGCTGTCTGGAAACCGCTGTGAGTCGCCCTCGGGCTTGAGATACAGCGGTATACAAGAATACTTAATAAATAAATAAATAAATAAATAAATAAATAATAAATGATTGAAATTGGAGAGGTTGCAGAAAAAATCCAGGAAGAGCTCATTGAATTTCAATATGATAGAAACTGCAAGGACACATTTGAATCTGATTCTCTTGAGGAGTTTTGGTGTAGAAAAACATTTTTTTTTTTTTACTAAAATTAGAGGGATCGCCTTGCACTATCTTATGCTCTTCTCCACAACTTATGTATGCGAACATGGGTTTTGTGCTTTGCTGGTAATTAAAAACAAGTCCAGCAATTGATTGAAAGTAAGTGATGATATGCGTGTAACTTTGAGCAATAATATTAGCCCCAGGATTCCCCAACTTGTAAAGAAGATGCAAGCTCAAAAATCACATTGATGCAAACTGAATTTAATTTTCTATTTAAAATGTTCTTTTTTATACAGTAGAGTCTTGCTTATCCAACCTTTGCTTATCCAACATTCTGTATTATCCAACACAGTCTACCTCCCACCTGGATCCACAGCTGTTTCAATACATTGCAATGTTTTGGTGCTAAATCCGTAAATACAGTAATTATCACATAACCTTACCATGTATTGAATTGTTTTTTTCTGTATTATCAAAGGCTTTCATGGCTGGAATCACTGGGTTGTTGTAGAGTTTTTCGGGCTATATGGCCATGTTTTAAAGGCATTCTCTCGTGATGTTTCGCCTGCATCTATGGCAAGCATCCTCAGACCTCACAACCTCTGAGGATGCTTGCCACAGATGCAGGTGAAACATCAGGAGAGAGTGCCTCTAGAACATTGTTTTTTTCTGTCCATCTGTTGTAAAACCTGATGTTTTGGTGCTTCATTACTGCATAATGTTACCATGTATTGAAGTGCTTTTTCTGTCAATTTGTTGTAAAATAGGATGTTTTGGTGCTTAATTTGTAAAATCATAACATAATTTGACATTTAATAGGCTCTCCTTATTTTCTAACATTTTTGCTTATCCAATGTTCGGACGGCCCATTTATGTTGGATAAGCGAGACTACTTTATTAATAATAGTACTCATAATTCATGTTACTATTAAGTTTAATGACTATGTTAAAAGTTTGGATTAAAGTTTATTTTTAGATTAACACAGATTATTATTCTTGAACCTTGTGGTCCCTGCTAACAAAAAAAGGTTGGGAACCACTGTTCTAAAGGAAGAAGAGTTGCATCAGCCAAGTTAAGTATAATACACCTTGGAACATATATCTCCAGGTAATAGTTGAAGAAGTTCCAAAGTTACAGGTTTTGCCATGGCTAATGAAGTAGAGGTCTCATTATATTTGTTTCTCACGACAATAACCAGCATCTGAACAGGAGAGGTTCAGAGACAACCAGAGAACAAAGGCAGTGAAACCTCTCATATCTTTGCCCCTTGAAGATTCCAAACTTTCTAATGCCTCTTTAACTCACAGAAAGCTTCATCGACAAAGAGCATCTTGCTGGATATTTGGGTCTCCCTGCCATCCAAAGTGGTTGACTTAAACCTTTCTTAACCGGATGTAGTTGGGTTCAGTCACTGGATGATGCATAGCGTGGATTTCTTTCTTTCTTTCTTTCTTTCTTTCTTTCTTTCTTTCTTTCTTTCTTTCTTTCTTTCTTTCTTTAAAACATTTATACCCTGTCCTTCTCAGCCTCCGCGGCGGGACTCAGAACGGCTTCCAAACAGCAACAATTTGATGTCAAACATAATATGAAACACATAATAAATACATTCACAAAATTAAAATAATTCTAAATATACATTAAGAACCCACTCGCCAGATTAAAATCACCAGAATTAAAATTGTCATCCAAAGCAGTCCAAGTCCAGTCCAATAAATCTTGTCTTTCCCAGTAAACAAACGATTCTATGAATGCCTGATCCCATAACTAGGATTTAAGCTTCTTCCTGAGGGAGGGGGCAGATCTAACCTCATTGGGGAGGGAGTTCCACAGCCAAGGGCCACCACGGAGAAGGTCCTGTCTCTCGTTCCCACCAAACGCAACTGTGATGGCAGTGCGACCGAGAACAGGGTCTTCCCAGATGATCTTAAGGTCCTAGACGGTTCGTAGGGGGAGATACATTCACAAACCTGCTCATATTATTTGAACACCAACACTTTCTTATACATTGAACAATTATCCCTCCCCCATCCCTTCAAAGGTAGCCTTTCAGAAATGTGGATGTACTGGAGGCCTCCATAAAGATTTATTTATAGGCTGCAAAAGCTTGGCAGCTCATCTCGCCTTCTGTGAGTATACATAAATATAAAGACTATCTCCAGGATAGGAATTCAAAAGAGAGAGGGGGAAAGAGAGAAATTGCTAGTCAGTCCATCCTCTTGAAAGAATATGTATAGGCTGTCACTTGAGATCTCATCAAAGTCAGATGCTTTTGAAATGCTAAGATCTCCAGAAGCGATAACTCAGCCAGCATCCATCTGGTTGAACTCACTTTTTATAAGCTTTTCTTGTCTTAAGAGTGTTCTCCACTACACACTTTTCTCTCCTCTTTCTCTGTCATTCACCCTCCTGGTGTCGTTCATATGGATGGGTGGATGATAGGTCAATGCCCCAGTGAGTTTATCATCTAAATTTTGACAGTGGGGTGAGCAACAGAGGGAGAGAGGAGGAAAGGGATGTATGTGGAGTGAATGTGGGGAACAGCTGCTACATTAAACTAATACATTGCAATGTACATGGATTTCAATGCTCATGGATTGAATTGCATTATAGGGCAGTGTAGATGGGGCCTCAATGACCCCTGTGGTCTATAATGGAATTTCTAAGGAGTTAGACCCATGTTAGTATATATGCTCATGTGGACTTCTTTTTTCTCTCATTCAGATTCTGTCCCCACTTTCTGATGCCATCTTGGCTGAGAAGACAGTGACAGTTCTTGATGAAAAGGTGACCATTACTGACCTGGGAGTCCAAATCGTGACTGGCCTTTCGCTCTCCTTACAATTAAGCCCAGGAAGCAATAAAGCCATCTTTGCCACAGCAGTAGCCCAAGAGATCCTTCAGACACCCAAACAGGTACAAAGTCTCATCGAGAACCACCTAACCTCAGAGTGCTATTTCCAAAGTCGGCTTTGTTTGAGAATGTCTGTATGCCGTGTGCCCTATTGTACAAGGGACAACTGATAACAGGAATGAAGTTGAAGGCATCCTCTCAAATGAGCTCCAGTCCAAATCCAGTGTAAAGGAAAAGACCTCAAGGAAGGGCCCTGAGGTTGTCCTTCAACACTTAGCACTTGACACTGAGATCCTGGGCCTTTCCACACAGCCCTATATCCTAGAATATCAAGGCAGAAAATCCCACATTATCTGCTTTGAACTGGGTTATGTGAGGCCGGATACAGACAGGCCCTTGTCCCAATAGCACCCGCGTTAAAAATGCAGATATTTATTTATTTATTTATTTATTTATTTATTTATTTATTTATTTATTTGCAGCATTTTATTCCTCCTTTCTCAGCCCAACAGTGACTCAAGGCAGCGTACAGATTGGCAACAATCTGATGCCACAACATACATACATACATATCAGTTAAAACATTTAATACAACATAATAAAAATCCATATAAAGCCATTAAAATTATAAAGATTAATGTCTTCCAGATCAACTCCTTATGCATTTGCATCATCTACGCCGTTCCTTGTTCATTATTTCATCATACTGTGTTTAGCTATTACGCTGCATTTCCAGGTTTTTACTCTTTTCCAAAAGGTCAGGAAGGAAGGGGCAATCTAATATCCCTAGGAAGGGAGTTTCACAGCCAAGGGGCCACCACTGAGAAAGCCCTGTCTCTTGTCCCTACCAAAGCCGGGATCGAGAAAGCCGGGATCGAGAGCAGGGCCTCCCCAGATGATCTTAAGTTCCTAGATGGTTCATAAGGAGAGATACGTTTGGACAGGTAAGCTGGGCCAGAACCGTTTAGGGAATTATGCTTGGTTGCAAACTGGTAGCCAGTGAGCTAGCGCAGCAAAGGAGTTGTATGCTCTCTGAGTGCTGCACCCATTAGCAACCTGGCTGCCACGCACTGGACCACTTGAAGCTTCTGAACAGTCTTCAAAGGCAACCCCACATGGAGCGTGTTGCAGTAGTCTATACGGGATGTAACCAGATCGTGGACTACCGTGGCCAAGTCAGACTTCCCAAGGTACGGGCGCAGCTGGCACACAAGGGGCCTGTCCACACCCACCCCAGAAAGTGGAGGGGGGGAGATTTTCCTCCCTCCTCCCCCCACCCGCTCTCCTGGCGCATCATTTCTATGCACCGGGAGAGCTCGCTGGGGCTTCCAATGGAGGGCGCGTAAGTTTTAGTTAGTTTTCTAAGGGATCTAAGGGCTTGAGAGGAGGGGGTGAGTATTCCCAGAGTTTACTGGGCTTACTTAGCCCGGTAAACGGTGGGAATACTGTCTGGACTGCAGTATTCTGCAGTCCATACCCAGAAATAGTGCATTTATCCCTCACTTTCCAGGAAGGCGCGGAATAAATGCTCTATCAAATCAATTCACTACAAATCAGGGTTTTCCTGATTTGTAGTGAATAAATGCGGGACTGTCTAGAATATTATCTGGACAGCTCCTCCTTTATTGCGGGAGTTCCCGCAGTAAAGGCCCTGTCTGGCTGGGCCCTGAGTCCACACTCAGATAATGTGGGATTTTCTGCCTTGATATTCTGGGATACTGGGCCATGTGGAAGGGCCCCCAGTTCAGCAGTTGTGCAGTTAACCACTTTCAGAATCCTAATTAGGATATCAGTGTTGTGCACTTTCCTAGCACATACAACCATTTCCATAAAGTGATGTTGTGAACTGGGTCTCAATATCAGGGTTGAGGTTTAAACAAACAATACAATGGCACAGCAGGTTAAACCACTAAGCTGCAAAACTTGCAGATCGGAAGGTTAGCAGTTTGAATCCGCGGACAGGGTGAGCTCCCATTGTTAGCCCCAGCTTCTGCCAACCTAGCAATTGGAAAACATGCAAATGTGAGTAGATCAATAGGTCCCGCTTTGGCAGGAAGGTGACAGCGCTCCATGTAGTCATGCTGGCCACATGACCTTGGGGGTGTCTGCGGACAACACCAGCTCTTTGGCTTAGAAATTGAGATGAGCACCACTCCCCAGAGTTGGAATCAACTAGAATTAATGTCAAGGGGAAACCTTTACCTTTGCCTAGGAGGATAAACCAAACACCAGAGTCAGTTAATCAAGAAACCAAATCCTTACATCCTTGGAAGTCCAGCCAAAATAACAAAAGTGCAAAATACAAACTGATAAGGAGGAGCCAAGCCCAGTTTTAAGGTCTAATGAGCCAAAGCCAAGTCGAGAGTCAAGTCATAGGCAAAGCTGGAGAAAGTTCTTGTACCTTTAATATTTCCCTAAAAGAGGAGATTTTAGCAGGCGTTGCTCGTTATCTGGTTGCAAAGCAAGAAATCCCTGCTGAAATCCTTCCTTCTACAAAAGCGTGCAAGGTGGAAGATCCGTCTCCAGGTCTGACAACTGTAGCACACTTGCTCTGCTCACAAGCTCCAACCGGCCCAAATGGGCAGAAGCTGTTTTGGTATTACAAATACAATTCTATTAGGGAAGTCTAAGTTGATAGATTCTGACACCTGAAGGCCACCAAACACTAAAACAGGAAAATTTATTTCCAGTAAATAGGACTGTAAAACTAGAACAAGTACCTGGAAAGTATGGGTTGCTATCTACTCTCATAGTCTCTCATAAATAAACTGCCATCACGGTTTACTTGCCATAAATATACAGAGTTGTGTTTGTTTTTTTAAGAAAGAGAGAGGGAGAGAAACGGTGGACTTGTCTCATTGTTTCCATCAGCAGACATCTATTGAACCTATGGTATAGTGCTCAGCAAAATAAAAGAGGAAGAGTTATGATTTTGCTTCACTTCTTACACTATTTAATAGCCAAGGACTTGTTTTATCCTTGTTCAAATTTCATTTTAAGTGGGCATGCCTATGTACATACTGTACATATACATGCATGTTTTTATTTCACATGACTTTGAAATTCAGAGTGAAGGTCCCTGGACATGGAGAAAGCAATAAGCTATCTCAATATAGTTGTAAGCAACCTGATGTATTTTTGGACTTTCCTTGATAGCTGTCCATGTGAAAGGGGTCTTGGAGTCTTAGGCCACTTCTACACTGCCATATAATCCAGATTACCAAAGGAAATCATCCATATTATCTGCTTTGAGCTGGATTATATAAGGCTACACTGCCATATAATCCAGTTCAAAGCAGATAATCTGGTTTTTATATGGCAGTGTAGAAGGGGCCCTAGTAAACCATGAATATTCCACCTAGAGATTCCATAGAGAAACCATAGAGATTCCCATAGAGGGCTTGAAGGGCTTCAGCCCCCCCCCCCCCCAATTCTCATGGTGGTTCGCGAAAAGGCCTTACTGGTGCATTATGTAAACTGTTATGTTTATTCATATCATGATCTGATCACCATACTCAATATATCCCATATGCATGGGGGTATTGGGGTAATGATACAAAAGGTTTGCTAAGGTAGACCCTCTTTCACTCAGACTCAGCCCCCCCCCCCCCCCCCGAACCCCCTCCCTGAAAAAGATTCAGCCCCCCCCTCCCGAAACGAAATCCTGGCTACGGGCCTGGGTGGGGGCTCCTTATTTGGAGGCTTTTAAGCAGAGGTTGGATGGCCATCTGTCGGGGGTGCTTTGAACGCAATTTTCCTGCTTCTTGGCAGAATAGGGTTGGACCGGATGGCTCATGATGTCTCTTCCAACTCTATGATTCTATTATTCTAAGTGAACATGAATCAATGGTGTCATGTCTCAGCTCAAAAGGCAATGTAATTCCTGGCTGCATCCATAGGAGTATAGTCTCTAGAATGGAAGGAAGTCACAGGCCCCTTCAACACTGCCATACAAAATCCAGATTATCTGCTTTGAACTGGATTATATGGTATTTATTTATTTATTTACTACATTTATATGCCGCCCTTCTCACCCCCGAAGGGGACTCAGAGCGGCTTACAAGATATATATACATACAATACATTATGTTATTAGCACAGTACAATATCAGTATTAAATCTTACTATATTGTACTATACCATTATATTGTAATATTATTAGTAATATTACATGTAATATAAATATATAATTATAATATCATATTATTAGTAGTATTATATTGCATTACATTATAATACTATATGTATATACAATATATTATATTACATTATATTATATTATTAGCATAGCACAAGAGACAAGACGGAACTGTTCTCTGGCCTCCTCTCCCTTCACTCTGGCCCAGAACAGCAGTTGGTGCTGGGGAGAGGGGCCCCCAGTTGATGATGTAGACTCATATAATCCAGTTCAAAGTAGATAAAGTGGATTATCTGCTTTGATACTCTGGATTTTATGGCAGTGGAACATGCTGCTTAGGAGTCTGGTGGAGTCTCCTTCTCTGGAGGTTCTAGCAGAGTCTGGAGGGCCATCTGTCAGCAGTGCATGAATTGGCAGAATCATAGAGTTGGAAGAGACCACATGGGTCATCCAGTCAACCCCCTGCTATGCAGGAAAAGCACATTCAAAGCTCACCTGGCAGATGGCCACTCAGCCTGTTTAAAAGCTTCCAAAGAAGCAGACTCCACCACACTTCGAGGCAGCAGCATATTCTACTGACAAAGAGCTCTTATCCTCAGGAAGTTCTTCCTAATGTTTAAGTGGAATCTCTTTTCCTGCAGTTTGAATCCATTGCTCCACTGGGTCCTAGTCTCCAGAGCAGCAGAAAACCAACTTGCTCCCTCCTCCCATGTGGCATCCTTTCAAATATTTAAACAAGGCTATCATAGCCCCTCTCAGTGTTGTTTTCTCCAAGCTAAATATACCCAGCTCCCTAAGCCGTTCCTCAGAGAGCTTGTTATGTTTTAAATGTGCTTTAAAAAATAATGTAATAAGGATACGGATAAGAGAAGGGGTTTTTTTTTTAAAGAAGGAGAGGTTTCATTTGAACACAAAGCAGTAGTAAATGATTGCAATCACCTGTGATGGCATTTGACATGCCATTTATTAGCGTTTCAAAGCAAGCTCTGTGGGGCCTCCGGGGAAGTGACTCTCTTTCCACACTTCGGCAGAAAACAAATCTCATTATCAATGACTATTTAAAAAGGGGGAGAAAACCCTCTGTGAGGAATTAAACGTCTTCCTCGCCGATGGCTTGAGGCTGGAAGTATGGTTTCCTTGATCTGTGATCAAAGCAAAGGGGGCTTTGGCTCCACCAAGAGCATTTACCAAGAGCAGAGAAAGTGGCCATGTTGGCTGTGGCATTTTGGGAACTGGCGTCTAAGGCTGAAATTCTGGCCAAGCAGAAAATAAGGATATGTCAGCAGAGTTCTGCCAGTGCTATTGTATGTTGTAGTTCTGGCCCAGCCTACCTGTCTGAACGTATTGCCCCCTATGAACCATCACATAGATTAAGATCATCCGGAGAGACCCTGCTCTCGGTCCCACCTTCTTCGCAAGTGCGGTTGGTGGGGACGGGAGACAGGGGCTTCTCAGTGGTGACCCCTCGGTTGTGGAACTCCTTCCCTAGTGATATCAGGACAGCCCCCTCCCTCTTATTGTTTAGAAAGGGAGTCAAAACATGGTGTTTGAAAAATAGAGCAGTGCAGGAATGTTAGTATGGAATATGTGCAATTTGACTATGGATTCGCCTTTAGACTATGACTCTGGATGACATGATTCATTGAAATGTATTTTATTATGTTTATTATGTTTTAATGTTTAACTTATGTTTTAACTGATGTGGTATGTTTTAAGGCACCATGGAGGTACAATAGTAAGCCGCCTTGAGCCCCCTTCGGGGTAGAGAAAGGCGGGATATAAATAAGGTAAATAAATAAATAGTAAATAAATTATACTAGTTGTGCACCTACCAACAATGCCTCACACTTGTTGCACATTAGTATAGATACATCTCCCCCTCCAAGTGCAATGGAGGTATCAGCCTCCTATGGCCCTTCCACACAGCCATATAACCCCAGAATATCAAGGCAGAAAATCCCATAATATCTGCTTTGAACTGTGTTATCTGAGTCCACACTGAGTCCATCTTGCCTCCAGTGTCATCAGTTGGGAGCCCCCCCTCCAGCACCAACCGCTGCTCTGAGATCAGAGTGAAAAGAGGGGCCAGGAAGGCACTGTGCTTATAATATAATATAATATAATATAATATAATATAATATAATATAATATAATATAATATAATATAATATAATATAATATAATATAATATAATATAATAATTTATATACGTAAAATATTGATAATATTATAATGTAATCCAATATAATACTAATAATAATATGTTATTATAATTACATATTTTATATTAAATGTAATATTACTAATAATATTACAGTATAATGTTATAGTACAATGTAATATATAATATTAATATTGTGCTATGGTAATAATATAATATATTGTATTTTCTTTTTACTTGTAAGCTGCTCTGAGTCCCCTTTCAGGGAGAATGGTGTAAAGATCCCTTACCTTTCCAGCCTGGATGGCAGGGCCTAGGAGAAGCAGGCCAGTTAGTTGCAGCTTTAGAAGGCCTGGCAGAGGGCAGCAGGAGCCATTTTAGTTCAGGGAAAACACCATTTTAGAGAGGGGGAGTGTCCTAGGCCTGAGTTAGCATTAGAACAGCCAGGATTGGTTCAGAAAGGGGGCGGAGTTTAGCAAGGTTTGGAGGGAAAGAAGAGGCTTTTTCAGTCAGTCTGTTGTTGTTAGAGATTAGAGTAGGAAGGTAGTTTAAGGAGTTCGTGTTTGAGAATAGTTAAGAATAGGCAGTTTGCCTGAGGTTTGCCAGCGAAGTAAGCTGTAGCAAACTGGGAACAGCTATCAGGGAGAGATAGCTGGATTTGTAGTTAGCTAGGCCACAGTTTAGGGTAGCTAAGCTACAGTTGTATCTTGACAGAGATTCAGTTCCTGTCAAGAGTACTTGGTTTAAAGAGAAGAAAATCTCTGTGTTGTAACAAAGAACCATTTACATGTAACCATTACGCTTGCAAGACAAACCAGAATTTCTCTGTAACCGCCAAGATTCTAAACAGCATTTACTTCTTTCTGTATTTTCATCAATAAACTTTCCTTGTTTATTTTAAAACTCAAAAAGCCTGAGTCAAGTGTGCCATTCGTGGATATAGTCCCTTTCTCAAACAATCTCAATTGTTTTCCTTTGAAGAAGCAAATAATAAAGCACAGTGCTTGGTGGTCCTAAAAACCCTTTTAAGATTTTAAACAGCTAGGGTGTTCCCTTTCTCAAACAATCTCAATTGTTTTCCTTTGAAGAAGCAAATAGTAAAGCACAGTGCTTGGTGGTCCTAAAAACCCTTTTAAGATTTTAAACAGCTAGGGTGTTCCTGTACATTTCAGTGTTGGTGGCAGCGGACGTTAATTAGAGAGATATCCCCTCATAACATATATATTGGTGCCAGTGAATTCTTTATTTTGGAGGGACAGTTGGTGGGATTTGTTTGCCCTGTCAAGATATATTAGTGGTGCCATATACGAGCTTTATAAATGGCGGCATATAAATGTCGCAAATAAATACATAAATAAATAAATATTCCAGTTTTATTTTATTCAGCTGTGTGGAAGGGGCCCAAGAAAGCACAGTGATCCTTTTTGAAGTTCAAGTGAAAGGGAATATGATCCTTTCCTTTGAGAAAATGGCTTGCTGGAACCAAAGGACCACTACAGCTGGAATCACAAAGCACCATACAACTTTGTGATTTTTCTTAATCTGTGGAGCGTGATTGCACATACAAAACAAATTCTAATGATTTATGGTGTCAGGCTGCAAATTCTAATGAATTCTAATCCGTTTGTCCCCTTTTTGGTTTTGTTTCTCCTAATAGGAAGCGGCTATCAGTTGCTGGATCCAGTTCAGTGATGGAGCAGTTATGCCCTTGGATATTTATGACATCAAGGACTTCTCATTGGTGGCTACTTCTCTGGATGAGAAAGTGGTCTCTGTTCACCAGAGCCCCAAATTTAAATGGCCTTTGATTATGGCTGAATCAGAAGGCCAAGGTCTGTTAGTAAAGGTGGAAATGGTGATCAGTGAATCATGCCAGAAATCCAAGAGGAAGAGCATTATGGCCATTGGAACTGGGGATATCAAGGTCAAATTTGGACAGAGCGATGCCAACCCCAACACCAGCGATAGCAGGCAAGGTGCAGCAGGTGTGAACCTGGAAAATCATACTAGTGATAGGCGTCAGAAGATTACTCTAAAGGAAAGGTCTCGCCAAGATGGATCATATTACAGCTCGTCAGTGGGTCAAGAGGAAACAAGAGGGGCCAGCACTCAGAAATCCATTCTAAGTAGAAAAGACGATCGTGGGAGTCTTTTGGATGATGATGGTCATATGCAAAACATCCCAGTAGACTTCACCAGCTTCCCAGTACAGGTGGATTTGCCCAGGAACGATGGCGATTTAGAAGAGAATGACCTTGTCGAGACACCCAGGAGCCTAAGTGACTTGGAGATCGGAATGTATGCTCTGCTAGGAGTCTTCTGTTTGGCCATTCTCGTCTTTCTTATCAACTGTGTCACCTTTGCTTTGAAGTACCGTCACAAACAAGCACCCTTTGAAGAGCAAGAAGGCTTGAGCCATTCTCATGACTGGGTAGGATTGAGCAATAGGACAGAACTGCTGGAGAACCACCTCAATCTCTCCACCCAGCAGGAAGAGTGTATTACAGCTGTTGATCGAGGGATGGACTTAGAAGAAAGCAAATACCTCCTCAATGTCAATGCCCAGAAGACCCTCAATGGCCAAATCTTCCACTCCTCAGACTCTGCCCCATGCCCTGTAGGGAAGGAACAGAAGAGCGAGCAGGCGGCCTCACCCACTTCCAAGCGAAAACGAGTTAAGTTCACCACTTTCACCACCATCTCTTCAGACGATGGGTGTCCCACTGTCAATTCCATCATGACAAGCAGTGAGGATGATATCAAATGGGTTTGTCAGGACATGGACCTGGGGGAATGCAAAGAACTGAGAAAGTATATGGAACGGCTACATGAAAATGCCTAAGATTACACTGGAAACTGTTCTGCTTTTGTTTGTTCTTTCTTTTTTCCACTCACCTTTCTGCCTTTAATTTGGGGTATTGGGGCAAATAAAACTAAAACAGTACAAACATTTGTGAACAATCAAAATGGTGTGGGAGAGGTCCCCAGACGGCAGCTCTTACCTGTGCTCAGTGGCTCTTACGTAAGATGCTTGGGAAATATTCTGATGCAAAGCAACATACGTGGGAAAATAAAAATTGTTTAAAAAAGAGTACGTTATTAAGACCTCATATCTGATCTTTTTAAAGGGATTCAATACAAAGTAACACGCCCGCCCCCCCCCCCCCAGCACAAAATTCAGATATTGTGAAACTTCCTTGGTGTTCATTCTTAATCAGGATTGCAATTAAAAGCCGGAACTTGGGCAGAAATAAATGGAAGAGTGAACAAGTCGATCAGGCTGTAAAGAAGAGAACGTCTAAAGGGGGACAGTTGTTAAAAGGGTCATCAGCATAATGTGGGTAGATTTGTCATCCACAGTTAGAGTTGCCAAAAAATGTGGAGGAAAAGCATTCTGCATCATTTCATTTGATAGGATTATCATGTCATGGTGTGCCATGGAATAAATGGATTGAGATAACTGTTTTGTTGTTTTTAGATCATGATCCAAAGTATGCTTTCTTGGCAGCATAGCTGGGTCCCTAGGTTAGTGAGAAGCAGAGTTGCTGAGGCCCAGACCTTTACTTACGTAGACGATCCCTTGTAGCTCGAGGATAATTGTCTTCCGGATGTGGTGGCTTGGCGGTGGGTCTGTAGGTGGCTGTGGAGCCCTATTCTTGATCCGCATGTTCTCCTGAAGTTGGGACATTGGTTTCCAGATGGAGGGTGGTCCTGGTTGGGTTGATATGCCTTCCTCTTGGCACATTTATCCCTTTCGCCCTCCATTTGTGCCTCTTTGAATTCTGCAGCACTGCTGGTCACAGCTGACCTCTAGTTAGAGTGCTCAAGGGCCAGGGCTTCCCAGTTCTCAGTGTCTATGCCACAGTTTTTGAGGTTGGCTTTAAGCCCATCTTTAAATCTCTTTTCCTGTCCACCAACATTCCGTTTTCCATTCTTGAGTTCAGAGTAGAGTAACTGCTTTGGGAGATGGTAAATGGGCATTTGGACAATGTGGCCAGTCCACTGGAATTGATGGCAGAGGAGCATCGCTTCAATGCTGGTGGTATTTGCTTCCTCCAGCATGCTGACATTAGTCCTCCTGTCTTCCCAAAAAATTTGCAGGATTTTTTGGAGGTAGCGCTGATGGAATCATTCCAGAGTTGCGTATGACATCTGTAGACAGTCCATGTTTCACAGGCGTTTAGGAGGGTTGGGAGGACAATGGCTTTATAAACAAGCACCTTGCAAGGTGCAAGGCCCAGACCTATTAGGGGCACCATTGATGGGCAGTGTTCACTGCCATCTGGGGTAGCTCTTGGCACAGGTTGCAGGTCGACTGAGAGAGAGTAATCCCCCAAATCAACTGTGAAAATGGAAGCGATTCTGGGATTGATTACGCTGGCCAACACACATTTTGGTGCCTCAAATGTTAAACCTGTTTCTGGGTATATTTGATCTGCTTATTCCAAAAATGGCACCACTATCCTCCTATTGGCTCTAGTTTTTGAGATACAAAACATTAGGCACATACCAGTTGCCATCTGCTCACCCATAGAAAACTATGATAACCATATCTAAGAAACTAGAGCAGATGTGGTCTAGCCAGTGCCATTTCTTATTCAGCGCCCCAAATAACCCCAAGAAGAGACTTAAAAACTAATACACCAAGAAATGTTTTTGTTGGTCTGTGTTTAGTTCATAAAGAAGAAAAGATATAGCTTAAAACTCTCCTTAATGGCTTAGAGCAGTGGTTCCCAACCTTTTTTTTTTTTTTTAACCAGGGACCACTCTCCAACATTAGTACCAAAAGAGTTACGAATCCATTTTTGGTCAGCTTTAGATTCAGTTTGGTGATTTGGGGTGCTGATTCAGAAAATTGCATTGGATAGACCACATCAGTTCTAGTTTCTGATACAGAACATATGCCATCCAGTTGTCACCATCTGCTCACCCATAGAAAACCATATTTAATAATCTAGAGCTGATGTTGTCTATCCAATGCAATTTTCAGGATCAGCACCCCAAATAACCCCAAGAACAGGCCTAAAAATGAAGACATCAAGAAAAAAAATGGTTTTTTTTCCATTGGGCTATGTTATTATCTGTGGATTTTGTTAACGCTTGGCTCTATAAGAGGGTTTTGTGAGACCAGTCGCTCTCGTTGCAACGGTGTAGTAACAGTGAGGCCGCGGACCATATTTTAGTTTATTATTTATTTATTTATGACATTTATAAGCCACACTTCTCACTCCAAAGGGTACTCAGAGTGGTTTACAAGTAATATGTAAATACAATATATTATATTATTACCATAGCGCAATATTAGTATTATATAATACTATATTGTACTATACCATTATACTGTAATATTATTAGTAATGTTACATGTAATATAACATATATAATTATAATATCATATTATTAGTATTATATTGTATTACATTATGATATTATCAATATTATATGTACATACAATATATTATATTATATTACTAGCTTGGGGACTCGGCGCTGCCCAGGTTATTTGATAGAGGCATTGTTTGTCTGTTCTGTAGTTTTAGTCTAGATCCAATGTCTGATGGTTCAGTGGGTGCGGGTGAACTACAACTCTCATATGCAAGTCACATCGTCTATGGTCCATCCTCCTCCACACTGCACCAGGATGGTGGGTGGGTCATGGGGGCTTAGTGTGTCAAGTTTCTTCAGTCATTAGTGTGGGTTGCAGTGGTCTCAGGAAGTGATTGAAGTTACTGCAAGTCCCATCATCCATGGTCCACCCTCCTTCAAACTGCAGCAGGACGTAGAGTGGGTCATGGGGGCTCTGTGTGCCAAGTTTGGTCTTGATCGATCATTGGATGAGGGTCACAGTGGTTTCAGTGAGTGAAGGTACTGAAAATCCCATCATCCATGGTCCATCCCCCTTAGAACTGCATCAGGATGTAGAGTGGGTCATGGGGGCTCTGTGTACCAAGTTTGGTCTTTATTGGTCATAGGATGAGGAGCACAGTGGTTTCAGTAAGGGTGTGAAGGTACTGGAATTCCCATCATCCATGGTCCATCCCCCTTAGAACTGCATCAGAATGTAGAGTGGGTCATGAGTACTCTGTGTGCCAAGTTTGGGCCTGGTCTGTAATTTGTAGGGGCTGCAGTGTTCTGTGGGAAGGGAATCTCAGCCACTTCAGAATTTTAGAATCTTCAGGCTGGCCTATCAGAAACTATATGCAAATTATACCACAGTGGCAACCAATCAGAATATTAGATTGAGGCTGGCCAATCGGAGACTATATGCAAATACTTCCACAGTGGCAGCCAATCAGAAAGCTGCCATATACACTTCCACCCTACGTCCGCCGCACTTCCGCCCTCCACCACATACAAACACTGATTTTTATTATATACATAGATTAGCACAGTGCAGGAGACAAGGTGGAACTGTATTCCTGGTCGCCTCTCTTCACTCTGGTCCCAGAACAGCAGTTGGTGCTAGGGGGAGGGGCTCCCAAGTGTTTTTGCGGACCACTGGTTGGGAACCACTGAATTAGATCCTAATCTCAGAGAACTTTGTTGAATAAAATATATGTCAGTGAATTTTGATATGCAGTGTTGTTGTTGATGCTGATGACAATGCTACTATCTTTTGGTACATATGTAAAGTGTCATCTGATATTACAGCCATAAAGTGATGGATGTGAATGTATGAAAAAAGCCAGCATGGGGTGGAATACGCAGAAAGCTTTAGAAATACAACCCTAGAAAACTTTTTAATTCTTCCGGCATTTATCTCCCGTTCTGCTGGTGATCCATTTCATTATTTGGATATTGTTCACCAACTCAAAAAATAATTGCAAGTTAATAATAATCTGCATTGATCCAGAAAACGAGCTGCAAGGCAGCCAAAAGATTCAATTTGAGAACAAGTTATTTTTTCCATCAAGCCAACTATGAAGATGAATGGACTTTACTGACTTGCAGTGCTGCAGTAAGTAACTGCCGAAAATACTTTCACACTTCGTTTAGGTAATGGATGAAACTTAGATGAAGTAAGGCAGAGAATGAGCATCCACAAGTTAGACTTCAGTTACAATCATCCCAAGGGGAAGAGAGGGAGGGTCAAGTGAATTTACAAAGCGCATCTCAAGCAGAATGCCTGACTAGTTTACAGTAACTTCTTCTGGCCCTGCTATTAGGCAAAAACAACATTTGACTGCAGATAGCAGAATATCAGCACCAGAGTCAGCAATGTACAGCTGTTTATTGCATTACTACTACTGCTGCTGTTCTGAATTTAGAAAAGTGCTTGCCATGTCAGTTTTTCAGATGTTTTGCCCTAGAACAGCTCCTTGGATGTTTGTGGCGGGGGGGGGGGGGGGGGGGGGGGGTCAACATATTTCAGGAGGGCTTTTGTGTGCATGGTCTTCTATCTGTTGGTCTTAAATACTTATCATAGAATCATGGAGTTGGAAGAGACCTTGTGGACCATTCAGTCCAACCCCATTCTGCCAAGAAGCAGGAAAATTGCATCAAAGCAACCCCGACAGATTGCCATCCAGCCTCTGTTTAAAAGCCTCCAAAGAAGGAGCCTCCTCCTTTGTCAGAGAGTTCCATGGTTGAACAGCTCTCTCTCACAGTTAGGAATTTCTTCCTCATGTTCAGGTGGAGTCTCCTTTCTTTCCTGTAGTTTGAAGCCATTGTTCCATATCCTAGTCTCCAGGGCAGCAGAAAGCAAGCTTGCTCTCTCCTCCCTATGACGTCCCCTCACATCTTGATACATGGCCCTCATCATGTCTCCTCTCAGCCTTCTCTTCTGCAGGCTAAACATGCCCAGCTCTTTAAGCCGCTCCTCATAGGACTTGTTCTCCAGAGCCTTGATCATTTTAGTCGCCCTCCTCTGGACACATTCCAGTTTTTTAACATCTCCCTTCAATTACGGTGTCCAGAATTGGACACAGTGAGATTCTAGGTGTGGTCTGACCAAGGCAGAATAAAGGGGTGGCATTACTTCCCTGGATCTAGACACTAGACTCCTATTTATGCAGGCTAAAATCCCATTGGCATTTTTAGCTGCCGCATCATACCATCATTTGAGGTTTATTCCGATGTATATGTTAATCA